GAACTAGAAAGAACTCTTAGGAACCTTAGAGCCTCTTCCCGTGTTCCTAGGCTTGAACATCCATATCCATACTCCGAACCATTAGAGATGGCGAACCCAAATGGGCCCAACCGAACCCTTAAGGATTGCTTCACACTTACTACATATATATCACCATCATACATTCAGTTACCTGACACCACCGCTGCTCATTATGAAGATTAAGTCCAACACTATCCAAATGATTCCATCATTCCATGGACTAGCTCATAATGACCTTTACAAACATTTGCATGAATTTCTGGAAATTTACTCTACAGTGAGGATCCAGAATTTCGCCAATGAGGCCCTAATGTTGCCACTGTTCCCATTTTCACTGAAAGACAAAGCCAAACATTGGCTGAACTCCTTACTTGCTAATTCTGTCATAACATGGGACCAATTAGAGCAGAAGTTTTTGGAGAAATACTTTTCCATTGGTAGGACCAACCAACTAAGGTGAGCCATTACCAATTTTGCTTAAATTGATGGCCAGCAATTTCATGAAACATGGGAAAGGCTTCGTGACCTTCTCCAACAATGTCCCCACCACCAAGTGCCTGATTGGCAACTTGTTCAAACCTGTTACTATGGCTTAACTGAGCCTCATCGCCAAATAGTGGATTCTTCTTGTGGTGGGACATTCATGTCCAAAAATGATGCCAAGGCATGGCAATTATTTGAGAACCTAAGTGATAATTTCCTTCATAATGCCTCTGCAGCTCGACAAATTTGGCAACCAGTAGTTGGAGCCCTGAAAACAAGGGACATTTATGAGGTAAGGCAAAACCTATAGTTAGCTCAACAAGTAGAGGCATTGTCCCACAAAATGGACCAATTATTAGCTTCAGGACATGCCCCTACATAGCAACCACAACCTCAATTTCATGAGGCATGTGTTATTTGTACGAGCCCTGCTTATGACTTTAGCGAGTGCCTTTCAACATCACAATTTTTGGAATTAGTCTAAGAGTATGTGAATGTGGCTCAAGGTTTCTCTAACCCAGGTAATGACTCATATTCCAACACATATAATCCAAGATGGAGGAACCACCCTAACTTTTCATGGAGACCTCCTTCACAAGGCACTTCTTACAACTCTTCACCACAAAGGCAGAATTTTAATAATTTTGCCAACCAATCTTTCTACCGGCCACCACAACCTTACTGGCAACCACAACCCCCGCCTGTTCCTCAAGGCAACTCGGCCTTTGAGACTCAGGTGTTAGAAGTTCTTTCAGAACTTAAGGGGTTAGCACTAGTAGTTCCCTCCCATACTTACTCCATTGCTAAGCTAGAGGCCCAATTAGGTCAAATGGCTAACAACATGAATATAAGAGATGAGGGAAAATTACTGAGTCAGACTAAAGCCAACCCTAAGGGTCAATATGGGAAAGAGGGGTCGAGTGGGAATGGAAAGCACCATGAACAGGTGCAAGCGGTGATCACTTTAAGAAGTGTGAGGGAGTTAGAGCCTTGTCCAGTTGCATCTGATGCAACTAGGGCTAAAAAGGGTGGCCACGGTAGTAAACCCAATGAGAGCAAGGGTGAGGGAGAAACACATAAGGGGGATGACTTAGTCCCTAGTACTTCACATTAGTCTAAGGCACTATATGTGCCTAAGGCACCCTTTTCCCAATACCTTGATACACCATCCCTTTTTAATAAGAAGGCAGCATCCATGGAAGTGATGATAGAGGTTTTTAAACAAGTTAAAATCAACTTCTCCTTATTGGAGGCAATTAAGCAAGTACCATCCTATGCTAAATTTTTGAAGGACCTTTGTATGCAAAAGCATAAATCTAGGACACACGTGTCCCAAAAGGTCGTACTCACAGAGCAAATAAGCTCCATCTTATTGAGTGACACACCTCCTAAGCTTAAAGACCCGGGTGCCCCAACCATTGCATGCATTATGGGGGACCATTTCATTGATAGGGCCTTATTAGATTTAGGGGCTAGTGTCAATTTGTTGCTGTACTCTGTGTACGAGAAATTCAGGCTTGGCGAGTGGAAGCCCACTACTGTCACACTCTAGTTGGCTGACCGGTCTCTCAAAGTGCATTGAGGATGTGCTAGTAAAGGTCGATAGCTTTTATTTTCCTATTGATTTTTTGGTTTTAGATATGGAACCGGTAGCCAGCTCTAGGAAACAAATCCTGGTGATCTTAGGTCAACCTTTCTTGGCTACGACTAATGCATGTATTAATTATCGTATTGAGGTTATGGATGTTTCATTTGGGAATATGCAAGTGAAACTCAGTGTTTTCCAAGCATCCCAACAACCCCATGAAAGAGAGGAGTGCTTATTTGTGGATGTTATAGATGAGATAGTAAAGGAGGCCTTACCCTCCATTCTTGTAGAGGACCCTTTAGAGGCTTATTTAGCTCATTTTGGGTTTGAGGATTTTAATATTGATAGGTCAGTTGAGGAAGTGAATGCTTTACTTGATTCTTCTTCTACACCGGAGTTTCCTCTGTGGAAAGCCCGATTTGAGCTCTTTCCTTCTTTGTCTAGGGAGCCTTCCATACCATCTCTAATCACACCACCTATGCTTGAGTTGAAGCCACTCTTGGCCACACTCAAGTATACTTTTTTAAGGCCTCATGATACTTTACCGGTCATAATTGCATCCGACTTAACTACAGATCAGGAAAGTCAATTAATGAGTGTTCTCGTGGCACATCGGAGTGCTATAAGGTGGTCGGTGGCTGATTTGCGAGGGATAGATTCCTCCGTGTGCATGCATTATGTACATCTAGAGGAGGACACCAAACTTTCTCATGAAATGCAATAGAGGCTTAATCCTAATATGAAAGAGGTAGTAAAAAAAGAGGTGTTGAAATTGTTAGATGCGGGTATTATATACCCCATCTCGAATAGCAAGTGGGTGAGTCCCACATAAGTGGTGCCTAAGAAATCGGGCATCCATGTTGTTGAGAATGAGCATGGAGAGTTAGTTCCACACGAACCACTACTGGGTGGCGAGTGTGAATTGATTATAGGAGACTGAATTCCATAACTGGGAAGGACCATTTTCTATTGCCATTTATTGACCAAATTCTGGAGAGGTTAGCGAGGTAGGGCTTCTATTTCTTTCTCGATGGTTACTTGGTGTATAATCAAGTTCCGATGTACCCTGCTGACCAAGAAAAGACCATATTCACTTGCCTTTTTGGTATTTTTGCTTGTAGGCGCATGCTCTTTGGGCTATGTAATACACAACCGACTTTTCAATGGTGTATGATGGCCATTTTTTCCGATATGATGGAGAAATATTTAGAGGTTTTCATGGATGATTTCTCGGTGGTTGGACCATTTTTTGAGCAATGCCTTAGAAATTTGACTAGAGTGTTGGAATGATGTATTGAGGCAAACCTGATTTTGAGTTGGGCGAAGAACCATTTTATGGTTCGTGAGGGTATAGTGTTGGGACACATTGTGTCCCCTTGAGGTATAGAGGTAGACAAAGCTAAGGTTGACCTCATTACAAGCCTTCCTCCACCCACTTCTATGTGTCAAGTTCGGTCTTTCCTAGGGCATACAGGTTTTTACTGTCGATTCATCAAAGACTTTAACAAAATATCCCGTCCTTTGTGTAGTTTACTTGCTAAGGATGCACTTTTTATCTTTGATGATGCATGTTTGAAAGCCTTTGAAACACTTCGAGCGATCCTTACTACCGCCCCAATCATGAAATCACCAGATTGGTCGCCCCTATTTGAAATCATGTGTGATGCCTTAGACTATGCTGTCGGGGCTGTGTTGGGCCAAAAGATGAATAGAGCACCCTATGCTATCTATTATGCTAGTCGTACTCTTTACGATGCTCAATTAAATTACACTACCACTGAGAAAGAAGTACTAGCTGTTGTCTTTGCACTTGATAAGTTCCGGTCGTACTCCTAGGGTCAAAAGTTATTGTACTCACTGACCACGTCGCTTTGTGGTACTTATTGACCAAAAAAGAGACCAAACCTAGGTTGATTATGTGGATTCTACTCCTTCAGAAGTTTAACCTAGAAATCTGGGACAAGAAGGGATCCGAGAATGTTGTTGCGGATCATCTATCCCGAATCCTTATTGAGCACATGAGTGAGCCCTTAGCCTTGCACGATTTATTTTCGGATGAGCAACTTTTTGCGGTGTTACAAGTGACCCTCCCGTGGTTTGCTCACATAGTGAGTTACTTGGCGGTTGGGCAAATTCCAAAAACTTGGTCTAAGCAAGACAAAGACCAATTTTTCTCACAGGTCAAACACTATTTCTGGGAAGACCCGAAATTGTTCAAATATTGTCCGAATCAAGTGATTTGGCATTATGCGCCTGAGAGTGAAACCCATAGCATTCTCACCTTTTGTCACTCTCATGCATGTGGTAGCCATTTCAGTAGCTAGAAAACGGCCGCCAAGGTTTTATAATGTGGGTTCTACTGGCTCTCTATCTTCAAAGATGCCCATAACTTTTGTAGAGCTTGTGTGCGTTGTCAACGAATGGGCTCTATGTCACGACAAGATATGATGCTGATGACCCCTATTTTGATTGTTGAGATTTTTGATGTTTGGTGCATCGACTTTATGGGTCTCTTTCCACAATTTTTGGATTTGAATACATTTTGGTGGCCATGGACTATGTCTCCAAGTGGGTTGAGGCAATGGCCACCAAAACGAATGACCACAAAGTTGTGGCTAAATTCCTCTATGAAACCATTTTCTGTCGTTTTAGGTTTCCACATGCCATAATTAGTGATGGTGGCAAACATTTTTACAACCGATTTTTTGAGGCATTGATGCACAAACACATGATCACTTACAAAGTTGGCACTCTTTATCATCCCCAGAATAGTGGTCAAGTAGAGGTTTCTAATAGGGAATTCAAACACATCCTCGAGAAAACTGTGAGGCTTGATAGAAAAGATTAGTCTACTAGGTTGGTTGATGCACTTTGGGCCCATCGCACTGCATATAAAACACCCATCGGGATGTCTCTATACAGGATTGTGTTTAGGAAATTGTGCCATCTCCCTGTTGAGTTAGAACACTGGTCTTTGTGGGCCATTAAGAAGTTTAATTTTGATATGGCCAAATCTGGTGACCATCGAAAACTCCAACTCAATGAGTTAGAGAAGCTTCGCAATGATGCATACGAGAGCTTCAAAATTTATAAGGCTAGGACTAACGCATTTCATGATAAACACATTTCTTGTAAGTCCTTTGAGCCTCACCAAAAAGTGTGGCTGTTTAATGCTACATTGCAGTTGTTCCCGGTTAAACTCCTGTCTTGGTGGGATGACCCATATAAGGTTATCGAAGTCTTTCCGCATGGGGCGGTTGAGATTAAAAATCCACAAGATGGTACAACCTTCAAGGTCAATGGCCAAAGATTGAAACATTATGTGGATGGTATTGAGAGGGGAGATGATTGAGGTTGTCCACTTGACGGACCCAATATATCTTCTATCGTAATTATTTTGAATCTAGGAGACCTTAAATCTTCTAAAGGTGTAATTCCTTTGATGTTAGCTGTGCCTAAACGACGTCTGATGGTCTGGTATAGCCATCTAACAATGTTTGTAGTGAGTTCCTAGCAGACCAACGGAGACGGTGGAAACTAGAGTTCGAATGGCAAAGCCTAGAACGCAAAGGTTTAGAATTTTCGTGACTAAAGTCTAGTTTAAATACTCAGGGTTGTGGAGATTGCTTCAAAACCACCCTGGCTTGAACTCTGTATGGAAACCCCATAAGTCGAGTTAGCTTTATGTACCTTAATTCTGGATACCAAATCAACCTAGTCTGCCACCCTGGTGGAGGATAGGGAAAGTTACAAACATTGTTAGGGAGAAAAGTATTGCTCGTGGTTTTCACGTGAAGATTATACATTTGTTGAGCATTTTGATATTTTTGAAGTGCTATATTTATTTCAGATGTGCAATGAAGGTAAAGATAATTTGAAATGTTTTTAGGTTGTATTTGGGTAAAAAGAAAAAGAAAAAAAAAACCCCGCATGTGCGGCACAATCCATCGCATGTGTGGAAAAATTTCAGTCCACAAAGTTGCTACTGCTTTATATGCATGAGCGAGAATAGGTGTGGAAGTGTCTTCACGCATGCGGCGTACTTTCCTGCACGTGCGACCCGACTTTGATTTTAAAAAAAAAAAAAACCACCCCGCACGTGCGACATAACTTATCGCACGTGCGGAAAAATTTCAATCTACAAATTTTCTATTGCTTTATATACACAAGCAGGGCTTGGTGCGGGTGTGCTTCTGCACGTACGACGTGCACTCCCGCATGTGCGGCACGTTGACATAAAAAAAAAGATTTCTTTATTACATTTTTTTATTTTATCTATTTTATTTTATTTTTATTTTTGTTTTTGTTTTTCCAAAAAAAGGAAGGGTTGATTTCATAAAAACCCTAGCCCACTCCCATCACTCTCACAGATGCACTCTCTCTCTCTCTACCTTTTCATTTTCTTCCTCCCTTTCTCTTTCACTCAAACCCCACCACCACCAACTTTCTTCATTCTTCTTCCCACCATCACCAACCTCCACCCAACCTCTTCTCACCACCACTCTACCACCGGAGCCTCACCGTCCGCACCCTACCTTCTCTCCGTCCGGCGATCTCCGGCGACCACCATTTTTTTCGGCGAATCTCCATTCTTTCTCTCTCTTTCTTCACTCTTTCAAGGTAAATCCTTTTGTTTTTGTGTAGATTTGTGTTTCTCCTTTCAATCTTAACTTGTAAAGATTCATCTAAAACCCAAAAAAAAAAAAAAAAAAAAACAATTCTGGGTGTGCACTCCCGTACGTGCGGCCCTCGTCGGCGCTCGTGCGATGATTCAAAAAAAAAATGTTTAGCCAATTTAATTCTTTATTTTATTATTTAATAGATTGTGTCTTTTATTTTTTTTTATTTATTATTTTGCTTGCTTAAAATAGTTTAGTTCATTACCTGTTTAGTTCAGTTAGTTTTAATTATTTGGTCATTAGTTCTTTAAATAAAATAGTATTGTGTCTAACCACACCATTGTTAAGTAGTTAGTTTAATGTACATGCCTATGGTGTCTTTTATTTTTTTTTTATTTATTATTTTGCTTGCTTAAAATAGTTTAGTTCATTACCTGTTTAGTTCAGTTAGTTTTAATTATTTGGTCATTAGTTACTTAAATAAAATAGTACTGTGTTTAACCATACCATTGTTAATTAGTTAGTTTAATGTAGATGCCTATAACTAGTTGTGATATACTAAGTTAGTTCCATATTTGTAGAGTGTTTCTTTTATTTATTTTTATTTTTATTTTATATTATATTATTTTATTTATTTATCTATTCAAAAAAAAATCGTTATTGCAATCTTTTTTTTCATATATGTTCTTTATTTTATTTCTTTTATTATTGCTCTTTCTTAAATAAAAAAAAAATGATGATGAGAATCGCATGTGGTGAAACAAGTGGGTAGCCTTATGGTTTGATATTCTTATTCTCACGTTAGTTCCACGGGTATGTGTGAATTTGCTTTTGGTGTGTGCAGGACATGAGTAAACAACTATCCAGCTTGGCCTTTAAAAAGGCCAGAGGTTCATCCTCCTCAGTACCACCATTGCCGCCGTCACCACCATCCTTGCCACCACCATCGGTTGAGTTGCCACGACCAGATTGGGCTTATCGTCCGCTTCACAAGCTCATTCAATTCAACATCCCCTATTTTTAGCATGACCCAGTCACTTCTTGGGCCATTGAGCAGCTTCAACTCCGACAACAGTTGGGCACTTGCACTGTTACGGCGCTAACTTATCCTCGTCTGGTCCGGTTCTTCTACCAAACCTATACGAGGAGTCCATGGTGTCATCTCTCGCTCGTTTGTCCGCCATTGATGGTCATAGTATTAGCATCACGCAACCTATGATTGCCTGGGTGTTAGGTTTCTAAGACAAGTGTGACAGCCAGCCATTCCCTGAAGTTGAAGGTCAACAACCCATACCACGCATCATCCAAGAATTCTTTCCAAGGGCCCATGGTGATCCTAACTTCAAGTGCCTGCGCCAGAGCAAGCTGCTTGGCCGCTTATTATTCATTGAATATGTATTGTATAAGAATGCCCTTCCACTTGGGCACAAAGCTGAGCGCCGAAAGGAGCTTGCGTGGGTCTTACAGTGTTACCAGCATGGTTACCAGGTACACCTTCAACACGTGATCTAGGTACATATGCGGAAATTTATGTAGGAGGTCGTTCAGCCTCAACCTATGTAGAACACGACTTGGCCCCTGTCCTTTGCCAACCTGCTCACATTATTCTTCGAATTGATCAGCCTTCCAGTTGATCCGACTGAAGAAATCGACACCGTCTACCCTACTTTCGGCCAGCGGGAATGACAACATAGCTTATCCCGAATACCACTACAGGGCGGTGTCACGGTTATTGAGGCCGATGACCCCATGCACGACCCACCACCTCCTCCTACTTCTCTTGTGGCTCCCCAAGGGGAGCCGATGTACATGACTTGAGAGGAGCACTTGCAGTTTCAACACTCTGTGGATTAGGTCCACAGTACTCTTCAGGAGCACCACCAGTTTCTTATGGGGTTGCTCACAGACTTTTAGGTGCATAAGGATTATTCTTAAGTGGCATTCGAGCACCTTAATGCTCGCCAGCTCAAATATCAGTAGTCAGTTGCCTCCTTGCAAACTAACTTTTATACATATCAGGAGTTGAGCTAGCAACGTTTTGACCAGCTTGGCGCTCGGGTTCATGACGAAGCATTCGAGACGCGGTCATTGATGCCTGCCTTATTTGCGCAACATTTCCTACCATCGCCACCGCCAGATTCTCAGTAGTCACTTATTATCTTTTGTTTTGTTTTCTTCCTTTATTTATTTTTATTTTTATTTCTTCAAAAAAAAAAATATTTGTGTTTTTATCTGCTTAGCTGGAGGTGCACCTACAATATCTGGTAATATTCTCTCTCTTTCTTATTTTCTTCGCATTTGTTTCCATTGAGGACAATGTCATATTCAAGTTGGGAGATGAGGGTATTTTCTTTTGTGTACTTCTACTTGGCTCCTAATTCATAATTCATGTTTATACCTGTTTCACTTAATTACAGTACTTCACTTGATGTTGACTTGTTGCTAGTAAGGTAGTCATATAAGCATATGTTAATTGGGGAACATAGTAAACTTGTATGAAAATGATTTATTGGATAAAGACTCGCATGTGATGTTTGCACTAGGATAGTTGCTTGTGGTTGTGGTATTAGTACACTTATCATGAGTATGTCTTGATTCACATGAACACACTATCATAGTGGTGACCTCTCTATTATAATCCCTGGTGTACATCATTGATAATTGCTAGGGTTGTGGAAAAAAATAAATGAGTAGCCTTGATTCTAAAAAAAAAAAGAAAAAAAGAAGAAGAAAACCTTGATTTGTTTGGGTTCGTAGCCTCTTTAACTCGAGTTATTAAGCTTGTAGGGTTGTCTTTACACCTAGTGCCCTAAAACCGTCTGGTTTGGGAGTCATTGGCCCAATATTTGCTATATGGGTTAATTTGGAAGCTTAAGGGATCTAGACATTGCACAGTTAAGGGAAAATAAGGAAAATGATTTGTTCAGGTTTGTAACCTTTTTAGCTTGAGTTATTAAGCCCGTAGGAGTGTCTTCACACCTAGTGCCCTACAAACATCTGGTGTGGGAGTCATTGACCCAATGCTTGTGTCACACCCCAAATCCGGGCATGATCGGCCGTTGCCCACAGGGACTTAGCCCAAGGCACACGCAAGTCTAAATATGAACCCAAAATCACAAAGAATAAATGTGATGATAAACCATAAATAAATAAATCAAAACCCAATCCAATGACAAGTCACAAGTATAAATGGTAAAACCAACCATAACTAACTTCCAAAATATATACTAAATGGAACACAAATCGCCCACATATCAAAATAATCCTAAATGAATCTCAATAAAAATAAAAAGAAATATGCACAAACTGGACATGACAATCTAAAACAAAATAAATGAATGTCCTAGAGGTCTATGCAATTGAGTCCCCACTACACCATGAGTCCACTTTAAGTCCTTCTAACACCTGGAAATGATAAACAATTAAGCCAGCTGATAGCTCAGTGAGTAGCAACATGGATAGTAAATATAATTTTGAAAACAGGGTTCAATTCCAAAATAAGATATGTATCACAGAAACTAGATTGACATATAGTTTGGTAAAGAGAATCTATTTCAAAAAGAAGGTTCCACAGTTCAACAGTTAAAATACTCATGTCTCCCAAGAACATGATAAATGACATTTTCCACTTAAAACAGATTACAACATGAACACCCATAATTTTCTGGGTACCAAGAAATAACAAGTAACATGCCACACAGTTCTCAAGGCTATAAGCCCTGTTGGATCCAAT